AAGCGATCTTTGTAATCTGTTATCAGACGGGTGGCAGCGTCGCAGCATCGGACTGGAGTGTTCTAGGGAACGTCAGGTGGGATTTGGAGGTGAAAAGTGCGCGCATGTGGAATTCCGCTGGGGCGTCGAAAAGTCAAGCTTCGTGTTTGTATCGAATAAAATGGATGCACTTGAAACGCGCGCACCTGCAAACGTAATATATGGACAGGACCCATGAGTCGTGGAGCTGCCAACGCATCTGAGTCGTGCCGCTCAACGGCTCCCATCTCGAGGTACCATTCAAGGTAAAATAGGGTTTTCTCAGAGATCCTCGTGACGTCGACGCTTCTCGATGCTAGTAAGAGAACAGTACAAGTCCCTCGCACGTTCTTGCTCTCCATGACACACCCAACAACCACCACCTCGTGATCGCTGTCAAATGGATCGCAGCAGTACGATACCACGTGTGGCAGTCGATTGCGACGTCGAGACAATTTCACCTTCTGAGTACATGGCCCTGTCTCTAGTATACTCCTTCTCACGCCTCTCCTCGTTTCGCAGTCGAACGACAAACTGGATGACGCAAACGCAACCTAACGTCGACACTGTCCTTTTTATGAGCCAGCATGTCTTTTCGTTGCTGTAGTAGAATGCCCACCGCACACTGGCTACGACGTACAAAAAATAAAAGGTTTCTCGTACTAACGTTTAGTACCAAGGGTATATAAGAGACTTGCTAGTACCGGACATTGAGGATTGCGTGTCTATTCCGTGGCGCGGCGGCGAAGATCCTTGTTTCGCGCTGCACTACTAGCGTAATCGGGCGCTGAAGAAAGCTTCCTCTAAGGTACAAAGATGGTGCCCACGCCACATCTGTGACGTCGCTCGGTCGCGCAAATGACCGCCCGGGCGCCGTGCCATGCGTTTAGCCATGGACCTCCACTCATAAAACGCGTTTTTACTTCGAAACGCACCTTTGGACCAACGCGGCGTTGGTGTACAAAAAGACGTTAATTAAGTATATAGTGCAGGGCGAGGCGGTTCACGGGCACTGGAACTGGCGACGCCTTGACGGCCACCGGTCGACGGCTGCTAGCGATTTTTCGCTGGTAGAGCGCTCGTCGCTTGGCCTGGATGCTCTCGCGCTTCTGGAGGTACCGGGTCTTGAGCTTTGCAAGCACTACCGCCTTGTGCCGGATGTAGTACTTGCGGGCGCGCTGCCGATTCTTCTCGAGTTGGGCGGGCGAGAGCGGACTCCGCGTGCGGGTCTTGAGCAAGCAAGCCGTCGTCGGCCTCATGCACTCCATGCCAATCCTCAAATGTGCACATTGCGTTCCGCGCGCGGTCTCCGGCTGGCGGACGGTTGACGCCATGTCGCAAGGCGCGGGACCTAAGCGAATCAAGCCCGGTTTTATATGCCGCTCGTATCCCACTCTAATACGAATGGGCGGTACGAACGGTACGCGGTGCGTCAGCAGATTGAGGGAGGGTCGACCACCGGACGACGGAAGCGGCCATTGGGCCAATCACGATTACGCTCGAGCGAGCTTGCGAGTTCAAGTCCCTCGACACCACAATTACGAAACGGTGTCAACATGGAAGCGAAAACATGCAATACAAGAAGACATCATCCATGGTAATTCTTCGCAATTCGAAAGAAAATGTCCAAGTTTGACGAATACACAACTTGACTTGTCCGCGCCCGAGTCCGATTCTGCAGCCAATACACCGATTTTGCGATTCCATCCAAGTTTCTTTCATGTACCGTACCACAAGATTCTAGCTTGGAATTTCGTGATCGAGAGCAATTACAGCCTCATATTGCTGCTGGGCTGCTTGCAAGCCGGCAAAACAACAACGAATTTGGGGATATACACGACACTTTCGTTAGACTCGACTAGTTTAACGACACAACATGGGCTATTCGACCCGATTACTTCTTGGCGAGGAAGAGCTTGTACACGGCAAAGAGCGCGACGATCGCACCCGGCACAAAGATGATGGCGAGGTACGTCTGCGGCGTCCCTTCCGGGCACGGCTCCTTGCCGCCCGCGAGAGTGAAGCAGCTCGTGCTCTCGAACATGGACATCAAGCTGCCCGTGATGGACGTGACGAGGATGACAAAGAGACTGACAAGGATGAACGCGGCCACCTTGGGGTGACTGCCGCCATTCTTCTTGAGCTCGGCGACGGCCGCGCGCTGCGGCGGAAGGAGGAACACCCAGAGGCAGCCGATCACCATGCACGAGTACATGATGACGTACGAATAGGCGACGGCGGTCCGCGTCTCCGGAGCGTCTGCCTTGATGAGCTTCTTGTTGTAGTTGAGATGGCTGTCGATGACGTTGGTGATGATCGTGCCAAAGGGACCCGGGAGGTTCGAGATCGTGGTGAGGAGACCGTACATGACGCCTTCGTTACCGACTTCGGCGAGCTCGACAATGACGTACGTGGTGATGATAAAGTTGATACCAGACGGGATCGTCTCCATGACCGGCACGCCGAGGTAGAACCACTGGTTGCGAACCACGGCAAAGATGGTGAGGAACTGGACAATGGAGTCAATGGCAACCGTAGTGATGATCGTGATCACAACCACGTAGCGCCAGTTCCAGTGCGTGCCGTAGGTGCCCGTCGCCGTGATGACGGCCGCATAGAGGAGCTGGGTCACGACACTGACAATCTGCTGGTTGAGGTTCTCGACTTTGGCCAAGTACAAGCCGATGTAGTCGCTGGCCGTCGAGCTGATCGCTTGGAACAAACCAAAGAGAAAGTTGAAGAGAATGACCTGCCACACGGCGCGCTTCTGAGCGAGTTCCCAGAAATTGCCAAAGTACGAGCCAATGTCGACGCGGGTGTGCTTCTCGTCCTTGACAAAGAACCAAATCACCACGACGTTCAAGCACGACGGGATGGCCAGAATCCAAAAGTACCCGTTGATACCAATGTCCCAGTCAAAGTCGCCGGCAAAGCGCTCCGAGTTGAGGCAGATGCCCGACACAAACTGGATGAGACCCCAGAAGATCTGGCGCGTAGCGTACGAGAGCGACTGCAGCCGACCGCGGACGGCTTTTGGTTCGCGCTGGGCGACCGCAAGCATGAGCGCGTCCTGGGCGACGTCGGCCATGACGTAGCAAAAGCAAGCAATGGTCGCGAGGAGGATAAAGACTGGGCCGTCGGTCTGCGAGCCCTGCTCGCCATTGTCGCGGATTGCAATGAAGAGGAGGACGACGCCGCAGAGAAACCACCCGAGGAGCATGTACGGCTTGCGGTGGTAGCCAAAGATCGGGAAGCAGTCGTTGAGGACACCAAAGACGACCTTGAGCGACCAGCCGAGCGTCAAAAGCGCCTTGGCCGAGTTGGCCACGTTCGTCTCGAGTGCAAAGTAGCCATTCACGATGGCGTAGCGCATGCCAGCGACGCCGCCGTAGACGATACCGATCATGGCATACTGGAAGAGGATCGAGAGACACTCGGCCGACGTGTACACCGGGGCACCACCGGCGCGGAGCGCACCGTCTTCGAGGTCGCCGGGCGTC